GAATGATGCCATGACTGTGAGCTCTATTTCTCTTGGTTCAAGCAGTGATGAAAGATGTAGTCAGCGTGTCTGTAAATCACCTCATCCTATTGCCAGAACAGAGGTTTCTTCTAGTGAAGACATCTTAAAGAGTGCAAAGCTGGACGGACCAGGTCAAATTGAGGAGCTTAGAGAGAGGGAAGTGTGTTCAAAGCAGCATGCTGGAAATCTTTATGGAACAGAAAAGAGGGACAAGTACATTAGAAGAGTTCCCAATGACTCAAATGTCTATGCAAGTAGTACCAGGAACCAGAATAGCCATTCGAGGAATTATCAGTATATTTGGAAAAGGGTTCAGAAGAGTGATGCTGATGTAAGCAACTGTGACTTGGAAAAGTTGAACTTAGGTTTCTCACAGTCTGATGATAGGTTGAAAAAGAATACATTGAAGAAAAAGTTAACTAATCCTGTTGATTCTATTATATTGTCACAATCAGCCCATGAAAATCAGGAAAAGCTCAAATTCCCTAAAAACCCCAGAAGACATAAGTATCCAGGCTCACTGCAGGAGAATGAAAGTCAATGTGGAAAAGGATCTCCAGTTAATGGAAACTGTTCAAATGCTTGTTTGAAGACTAACATGCAATCAGATCCTTGCCAAATAGCTTCGGCAAAAAGATCAATAAATGTAGCAGATTCTCAAACTAGAACAAGTTCTTTTAGGGCTAGATACAAGAAAAGGAATGTTCAGTATGTCCCTTTAAAACCAATCCCGAATCCCAAATCTTGTCCCCGTGACTTGGAAGCTAAAGAAAATGCCCCAATTGTTGTATCCGGCTTGGATGATCAAATGGTCGAACATCAGTTTTTGTTACCTCGATCAGAGAAATTCAATGGCCTGACAGAGCAGCAGGGGGAGCTTCTTGCTGTGGATGGAGAGGGTGATAAAATGGACAAAGAAGTTTCTCCTTCTGGTCAAATTAAGCATGAGCATAGCACTGTCCCTCAAGCTATCTCCAAATCCTGGATGCACCAAGAGCTTAAAGATTCTGAGCTACCAAATTGTTTGTCAGTGGGGACGCTTGTTGAACCAGAAAGATGGACCTCCAAAAATGCCACACAGGAGCAACTGGCTTCTAAATGTCTAGCTCCTGTTTTTTCCTCAGTGATTGTCAGAGTGAAAAATGCAGGTCAAAATGTAGAAAATATTAAGGCATCACCTGGTGATACTCAGTTTGGGAAGTTGAAAAATCATAGCATGCGCACTCGAGAACCGGGCTGCAACAATGCTGCTATGGAAACGTTCTTCAATCCTGAAACTAAAAGCAAAACCTTTCAGAGTCTCGAAAATGATTGGAGAAACATTGCTCAGGCAGTGAACGATGCCCATAGGGTACAGCTAGCCTCTAAATCCATTGAGATAGGTAAGGGATATCCTGCTGCTGAATTTGAGAAACTTCTTCATTCTGCCTCTCCAATTATATGCCCATCTGCTAGTATTCAGACTTGTCAGGCTTGCTTCCCTAGTCGAGCTACTAATGCACCTCTCTGCAGACATGAGATACCCAATGTCGCTTTGAAGAACTTGTGGCAGTGGTATGAGAAACATGGGAGCTATGGTTTAGAAGTAAAAGCGGAGGACCACGGAAATGCAAGACAATGTGGGATGGATGGTTTCGAGTTTCGTGCATATTTTGTTCCATATTTGTCAGCCATTCAGCTTTTCAAGGACCATAGGACTCATCCAATCCATAATGATAAAAGGAATCTGGGGTCCATGGAGGTGGACTGTAAGATGAATAAAATATCTGAGGGTTCACCTAAAGTAGAGCTGCATTCAATATTTTCTGTACTTGTACCTCAACCTCGTGCTGAGGATTCAAGCTCTTTACTACAAAAAGGTGATCTCTCTGAATCAGGGTCATCTTCAGAGTGCAGTACTGCTGATTCACATCATCTACCAGATGAATTTGAGTTGTCTGATGATACGGAGCTTCTCTTTGAGTATTTTGAATCTGAGCAGCCTCAAAGGCGGCGACCCTTGTTTGAAACGTATGTCATACTTGAGCTGTTTCTTCTAGCATTTAGTTTATCTTTTGTTAAGTGTTTCCCTAGAGTGTTGAGTTTCTTGTGGAAAACTAAAATGCAAGTGGGTCAAGATATGAAGAAGGTTTCAATGGGTTCTTGTATAATCAGACTTTAATATCTTAGTGATTTTGCAACCTCAGGGGAAAAAAATATATACTGACCAGCCTCTCATGTCCTCTTGCAATGCAACATTAGCCCATCATTGGGGAAGTTATTGTCAGCACATCGTTATCTTCAATACTGATTTTTTTTCCCAATACTGACTTATACTCCATGATTACTCTTATTTTGCTTCTGGTGAACCAACTTTTATTTACCTCTTCTCTGGTGTTGGATTTTAGGTAAGCATACTTATTTTGCTATTATTTCCCATGCTCTCTAAGCAGGGAAACTCTTGTTTGATTGATTTGTCATCCTTGAGTTCTATGTGAGTTGTATGCAGCTCGTTGCCAGGAAGGGCTTTTTTTTTTTGTTCAATATCACTCTACTGATCTTTCTTCAAAATCTCTATTACAGAATACAGGAACTTGTCTCTGGTGATGGACCCCCCTCAAACTGTAGATCATATGGAGATCCATCCATCCTACATACAGGGAGCTTACGTGACCTGCATCCTCATTCCTGGTTAGTAGTGGAAACGTGTAGCTTGTATGGTGTATTAGTTCTCAAATATGTGAGGTGCTATACATATCTACGTACCTGTTTGGGGAAATGCGTATGTGAAAAACCATCATCTAGTTCCAGAGCAAGATTCTTATAGATCTGAATATTCTGTGTATTTACAGGTTTTCGGTTGCATGGTACCCCATTTATAGGATACCCGATGGCAATTTGCGTGCTGCTTTCTTGACTTATCATTCACTTGGCCATTTTATTCACAGAGAGCAGTCATTTAAAAAGACTAGTGTGGATGCCTGTATGGTTTCTCCAATCGTAGGCCTCCAAAGCTACAATGCTCAGGTAGAATCATAGTGGCCAATCTCACAATGTGAAGGTGTCTCATAAAATTTCCTAAAGTTTATTGGACTTCTGTTGAGATACCATCATAGTTAAAATTATAAATCTCATGATAAGAAATTCTTAAAATGAATATATCTGTAACAAAAATGTGTAATTTTGGATATATCTTGGTGGTGCAAACTATAGAGCATAAAATGACTTTAGGAAGTATGTCCAAGGTAAAATGAGCATGAAATATTTGCCATGTTATCCTCCGTCACAATCCCTGAAGTTCTGCTGTTAAAGAAAAATACAGTTTGCTGGTAATCCTGGAAAGCTCCTGAAAATAGTCAATTGAAAGTCAAAATTTGCTAGCTTAAACCATATATTAGTGGTCTTATTGTCCTGTGCGACACTGCAACTATTGAAGAAAATCTATTGTGCAATTTTTACTTTTTTGAATGAAGGACATGGATTTATTTTGTTGATTTCGTCTGGTTGGGGAAACTCCACATACATGAGCTTTACAAAGCATCAGTGCTATGTGCCTGTATCAAGGAGGAGGATTGCGGTGGATTGACAGTCAAAAATATAAAAATAATCTAATTATGATGAATTCCTTGTATACTGCATTAAAAGAGCAGAATGGGGACAATGAAACGAACTCATTTTGCTAATCTCAACTACTTTGGAATTGAGGTGTAGTTGATTGAGTATGATATGGTTAGGCAAAGACTACAAGGTGGTTCACGCAACTGAAGTTGTACACATGTACAACTAAGAGAACTGTTTTTGTATTCACCTCTTCATTAGTATACCTGGCATCCCCCAATCTAAGCCGGCCCATTGAATTCTTCAAGTTCACAACAGAAATTATTTATATAGCTGTAAAAGTACCTGCCGCGAGTTAATACTTGTCAACTCACATTTTTATTATCCCTGCATGTAAATATACTGTACACGGCAATGACATTTCTTTTTGTCTTAATGGCAAAACAAATAGGGTGAATGCTGGTTTCAGCCAAGGCACTCTGGTGACGACCTGACAGAAGAATTCTTGGATATGGACCTTCATACAGTTATGAGAGAGCGACTAAGAACATTAGAGCAGACTGCATCAATTATGTCACGAGCTGTGAGAAAGATTGGAAGTGATACGCTCATGAACATACATCCTGATTATGAGTTTTTCCTGTCCAGGCGACGCTAACTGTTTCTGATCCTTGTATTTTCTGTTTATAAGATGGTACTCTCTGTACATAGCTTAGCGTACTGATAGGATCCCTTTTTCAGGATTGGAAGTAGTGCTTACTGGTTACAGTTAGAATCTTATCTATTTGTAAGCTTAAGAGTTTCGTAATTCCGCTGTTGTACATATTTAGACTTTTGTCTAGCTGGAATCAAAGAATGCAACGTGTTATGAGATGATTTTTGCGAATATAAAGTCAGTACAGAATTATTTCTGTGTTTTAACTATTGAGAGTTGGTTTCGGATTTTCATTCCGACTTTCAGCATGTGAAAATGAGAACTAGTTTTTGAGGTTGAAAGTCTCTTTAATAGTTTTGCTTGTATGGGTTTCACCAAGTGTATTATCTGTTCGAAACACGAATACAGGAGGATGGTGGCACTAAGTTGATAGTCAAAGAAGGATCTTTTGAATATTAAATGTGCTAGAATGTGTCTGTGTATGCTCTACATATGACATTTAAATGGAGAAACATGGTCGGTAATTAGGTGTATTATCACAAAACATATTCAATGCAATGAACTTGAACGAAGTAGAAATTATATAAACCATTCTAGTTACGTTGCTGTATAAGATAGTGCTAGACCAATGTACGAGAAGTTGGTTTATCTCACAAGTAAAGCAGAAGCCTAGAATTTTGAAACTAGAACCTCAATATTGCATCATATTTTAGTTTATAAATTCAAGAGTCCCTCACTTCATGAATATTTGTGTAGTTTCAGTAGAAATGAAACAAAGAAAAGATGACAACACTTCTGACGTCTAATTTTTTTTTATCAGAACTACATTTGAGGGTAAAGCAGACATATTCATGACATCTATAGCAAGGTTTGTCATAACAAAATCTCAACTCAACACTGGTATCATATAATCACTGATTATGCCATAACTGAAAAGACCTAGGGGAATTGGAATTCAGAGACGAAAAATCTGAACAAACTAACTACTTCAGCCTGCCGATCACATATTACATTCTTATGGCTTTATACACTCTTCCATAACTAACTTTGGCTTTCTTCACGTCATCCTCCTCCCTCCCAAATGTAATCTTCGAGTCTTATAGGAGAATCATCCTCCTAGAGCACCGACATGGCAAGCCCATGTGATGTTCACTTCGCGGTGTCCTCCTTGTCATCCAGATTAGCAGCTTCTTCAATTGAATTTACAACATTTGTCCGCAAGAGTAATTTGCAGATCCATTGAGAATGGTTGTCATATTCTATCGATTGAAATATAAAATACAAAACTCAAGCAGCCCAATCTTCATCACTAGCTTCTGTATCCTGAACATATTTAAGAGTTGAAGAATAACCTAAAGATATGAGAGTCTAGGACTTCACTGCAGCATAAAAAACTTGACGACACAACACCTAAACAGTTCAATTAACATATACAAAACTAATCAATGAAAAGAAATTATTTTAGAAGTGTTTCAGAACTCAAACCTTAGATGAACTAGACAACTCTTCAATGTCATCTTCACCCTACAGAGTGTCAAAACACAAGAGACAACATTTATATTAGCTGAATTTAGAAACACGAGCACAACCAGTACAGATCTTGTACTGATTTGGTAAATCAAATGAACCAAGATACATAGATTTTGTCAGCAGAGCATGAGAAAAAAAAATGGCCCTCCTAATTCCTATCCATGAAGCAGTCATACATTTTCTTTTTATGACATGAATGGTTAGAAAAATGAATGCACTCATCAGAACAAATCCTTCCTTTTTAATTTACACAGAAAAAAAGTTTCCGTTAATGTCTGGTTTAAACATGTATCATCAGTGTAAGAAAACACGAGATAAATTTAGAAAGCTATAGTCAAAGCTGCACATCCAAGGAAGATGCATAACTTCAAGTGGGAAACTATTTGTCATGAGTGTTATACTTAATTACCATAAAGAATAATGTTCAAGAACAGCCATAATCTTGCGACGTGTATCATGAGCACAGAAAAGAGGAGCACTCTCCCAAACTTCCCTTAGCATGAAGGTGGTATAAGAAGTTTGCCAATGTGTCCAGTTTAATCCAAATTAAGGTGAACTACTTCCCAATATTTGAAATCTAAACATCATTCAGGGGTGAGAAAAGATCCAATTGTCAAACTAAACGAAGATTCAGAAAGTTAGTTACTATGTATATCACCTGGATATATAGTCTATGAACCAAGTCAATTATTTTCAAATATATCTTCAACATTATAAGAGCCTGCTGGACTTACTTTCTTTATCTTTGCTCGCTAGTCGAAATTGCCACTTAAGAGGAAAGAAAGACGATGAAAGAAACAGAGTCGCCCAGAGTTGGACTGAGCATGGCAAGTGGATAAATTGCAGAACATAGTCTGAATTTTACCTGAGAAGTACCAACATGATCAGGCATGGTTGAACCACATTCTGTGTTGGATTCTCCTTTGTTTGTTGATTTTCTTGTTTTCCTTTGAGAAAGTCTATCTGGAGTGACAAGCTTCAAAATTTGTGGAGAAATACAAACATTAATTATTTGTGCATCAACAGAACAAGTATGAGTATGACCCAATAAAATATGAAGAGAAGTCGACAAAAAGTTCACTTTTACCCAAACACACTTCTTTTCTTTTTCTTTTTTGATATAAAACCCAAACATAAAATTGATGGTTACTAGCATGTGATTCTATCTATGATATGAACTATTAAGTGGTATATCCCCAACTATGGTCCCTCAGTTATCACTTTGAGCATACAACTCAACCGCTAAAGTCATATTCTGCAACAAAATTCAGGCCAGGAAAACTAAAATTCATGAGGAGGAAGGGAGGGGGGTCTCAGAATTTTTTTTCCCCAAGGCAAGCTATTCCAGCAAACACCAATATAATAGCTTCCACATTTACCTCTGCAAATGAATTAAGCTATTGCTCCAACTGTGAAACTGGCCTTCTATTTCCCATCTTTCCACACCACTCCATCCATGATACTTTCATTGCCTCTCTTTACCATCTCTACCCTCTTTTAGCGAATGACGGTAATGCTGGACTACAACACTTTTTGCTCCCAATAACCATATCCTACAGTGGCTATCAAACACCTTCATAACTATGTCCATAGAAAATCATGTAGTGTAGCATCATTATTGGATATAACAGGATGGCATCACCAAATAAAATTTCTGAATGCAGGTGATTCTACTTTTGTAGGATACGAGCTTTAGGAAATTTAAGGGAAGAAGAGTTGTGGTGGCCCATGAGGGGAGTTCATAAAAAACAAGCATGGGTCTCCCCCCCCCCCCCCCCCCCCCTACACGTGTAATTGTTGCTAATGTGAAATGATTTGAAATCACGTTTATTTTCAATTTTTTCTTTTTTTTAGGTGTAATTGTTGTTCTGTGAAATAATTGGGAATCACGTTTATTTTCAATTTTCTCTTTTTTCTAGGTGTAACGGTTGCATGCGAAATTTTTCGGAGTCGCGTTTATTTTCATTTTTTTCTTTTTTCTAGGTGTAACAGTTGCATGTGAAATGACTCGAAATCACATATGCTTTCAATTCTCTTCTTCTTTTTCTAGGTGTAATTGTTGCTTTGTGAAATTACTTGAAATCATGTTTATTTTCAATTTTCTCTTTTTCTAGGTGTAACTGTTGCATGTGAAATGATACAGAATCACGTGTATTTTCAATTTTCTCTTTTTTGTAGTTGTAACTATTTTCACGTGTATTTTTAATTTTCCTTTTTATATATGTAACTGTTGTTTTATGAGATGATTTGGAATCATGTGCATTTTCCGTTCACTTTTTTATATGTGTCACATTAATGTTGTTAGAATTTAGATAGACGATATTTCTAAAACTAACTTGTTGCCTCATGACAGAGCTACGAGTCCATACCTTGTTTACTTTTTTTCTTTATGAAGTAAGATAGACTGATAGAGTCCGTACCTTGTCCACTTTCTTAAACATTGTTGAAATAGTAGCCTGAACAAGAGAACTTTGCTTAGTACGGGGGGATTTCTTAGACTTGGAAGCAGTTTCGGCAAGGGCAGTAATTTTTCCAGTAACTTGACTTTGTACTACAGTTTCATCACAAAGAATGTCACTGCCTGCACCACAGATTTTTCATTCCATTAAACTATTTAAAGGAACTGGAAGATAGCAGGTGAAGGGAGATGAACAACAGAACAACCCAGAGAACAGAGACAAGACTTTGAGGGACTCTCACTCTAACGGCTTCTTTAAAGAAGTTTGGAAAAAAACTAATAAAGGATATAAGAAAATATTTTCGAGATGTTTCCAGAAGTACATTTTTTTGTGAACGATCCATACCAGTTTTCTCTTCCCCCTCGGAAGATTCAACATCATTGTCAACCAATTCATCCCCGGAAGAAACTTCTGCAAAACTGAATTATTGAACATAAAAATACAGGTCATGTATTAAGCAGACATCAGAGTCAACTAGATCTTAGTTAATGCAGGAAAATATCCCTCAAGAAATTAATGCAAACAAATACAAAGGCATATAAAGTAGCGACAAAAGATCAGTGATCGTTCAGTTTCTTCTGTGGATAGTCCTTGAATGAGTACCAAACTAACGCTCCTTAACCGGAGTCCTCAGGAGTGTTTAACATATTCTTATTTCCTAACAATAAGGGCGCATATTATGAATGAAATTAATTTTAAATGCCTACTCTTTTTTTTTTTTTGATGAAGTAAGGAGATTTCATTAGAAGGCATCAAGAAGATGCAAGGCAAAAACTTACAGCAAAATAAGGGGTCTGCTCCTGTACAAGAATTTACTAAATAACTAAAGAGCAGACATAGTCCAAAAAAAAGATCAACAGTGGTTACAGGGGCCTGGTTGAACCGGCTATTTAAGAAGGCTAAACAGTTGGATTTAAGAATGTGGTTAGGTTTTAAATGCCTACTATTTCTTATGCAGGTACAGTAATCCTGGGCAGTCCATGAAGTTATCTTTCACCTCAGTGATAAAAGCTATGTTATACTACATACAGTTAGTTGCAAGCAATATGATACAGTCAGTGCAAGGTACCAGTAATAAGGAAAACTACATGTTATACAAATCAAAGCATATACTTGATTTTTTTTCCTGCTGCCCTTGCTGAACGACGAGATGGAGTTAATTCGATAAACTCTTTTGAATCATTTTGACTTTCTGATAATAACTCCTCCTGTTCATGTTCAGGAGACTGTTGTTCCACATGCTTGACCCCACATTCACTAGTACTTCGTTTTTGAACACATGTAGCACCAGCACCACCTTTAAAATCACACTCCAATTTCTCTTGCTGCTGTAACCAAATAAGATATCCAACAGTATCAGCAATTCTTTGGAAACAGTGGGCAACAATCAGCAACTTTAGCATACTCTATTAATTAATGCTTTAGCCAGTTGAGTTAGGAACAATTTGACAAAAAAACTAACCACATTCAGCTCTTTTGGAAACTCGAGTCGTGCTTCTTCAGGATTCTCATCTTTCCTCCCTATCCACCATGCATCAGAAAACACAATCTAGAAAAGAAATAAGCCAAAAATTCAGGAAAAATGAAAGAGGACAAGTAAATGCAACTAAGTGCTAAACAAATCCTTTTAGTTTTCATCAGAGCCTTATAATAAGGTGAACTATAACATAAGTAAACCAAATCCTAATCTGTCGAACAGAGTCAACAAACAAAGTAGATCTAAGAAAAACATTTGCAATGATTATTGGCACTTGATATTCAAAATGTTTATACAACAACAACAACATACCCAGTGTAATCCCACAAGTGGTGTCTGGGAGGGTAGAATGTATATTCAATATGTTTATAATATCTCAAAAAAACAACTTTTTTAAGAGAAAATCGATGAAATCAGGGGAAACAGACTTAATAACTGAATATGCCTTCGTGATGGATAAGTCAACTCTATTGAAACAACGTTTTTTGTGATCAAACTTTTGGAATGTAAAATGAAATATTAGCCTAGGAGATGAAGTAAGGAATCAAATAATAGCACTTAATTGAAGGTTCCCTTTCACATCTCACAATGCAATTCAATGCTATTCAACTTACAACATTTAAATAATAATAATAACTTGAGAATGAAACTTGGAAGAACAATAACATGCTTGAATCAAATGAAAATCTAGAAGACAGAAAACTTTAGCCCAATAAGTTCCATGAGTCAAAATATTGAACATGCACACTCCCAAAGACTCCAGTAGCAAGCTCCTCAGGAAAGAACAGAACCATTTATAATATGGATGTTGCCAAATCATAAAGCATATTAGAATTATGACAAACCATAAAGCATATCACAAATATGGTCTTTATCAAATTTAACTAAAGAGCCATTCTTGGTTCTATTTTTCATTGTTATGAAACATGTCTATTAGGAAGAAGATAAATAGTTCATCTCGGCTTGTTCCAACTCCTTGGAGAATGGCTCCTGCATACTCTCTTTTCAATCATAGGAAGCAGTATTTATTTCTATAGACAATATAATTCCACAGCTTGCAAGGAATCAATGAGAAGGAAAGTTCTACTATCTGTTTTACTTCTAAATATGATGCCTTGACAATGATTATAACATTGTTCATGAAACATTAGTGATTAGATAGGAAGACAGATTTTTGCAAATGAAGCTCCAGGGATTAAAATTAATACTAAGATAAACAGATTAAAACACAGAACAGAGAGAGAGAGAGAGAGAGAGAGATAGAGATGCAAATGAAGCTCCAGGGATTAAAATTAATACTAAGATAAACAGATTAAAACACAGAACAGAGAGAGAGAGAGAGAGAGAGAGAGTCATAGAGATACCAACCATATTGTCAAGGTAATCTTCGCACACTACATTTTTCCCACCTCTGGAGAACTGCATAGTCAGATAACCATTTTTTGGATATACAATTGTCCCAAACAACTTCATTTGACCCTGCAGATCCAATTGGACAAAAAATTCACTTACAAAAAGAATTTCATGATCTCCAATCAGCACGAATACATCCACACTATGTCACTATGGGTAGCAAGTGCAGTCATACCAACTACCTTCAACATATGAAATTTATAACCAAATAAAGTTGAAATACGATCCTTTGTTTCCTCATTAGCGGGTTTCTGATCATTAAACCGACAAGTGCTCGGAAAATACCCGCAAGTAGCAAAAGTTGATGAAAGTAAGTAAGAATTATTATACCTGAGGAAAATCGAGGTAGAGAATAGGGTTTTTGGTACCAAGGTCTTTGAGCTCACCAATTTTACCTCCGGAAACCGGAGCAAGTAAACCGGGAAGAGAAAAGAGGAAACGATTCTTCCGTTGAGATTTGCGTAAAATGTCTTTACCATGATGTTTAATCACAGTTTTTGATGGATTCAGAGAATTATTAGCCCTTGAAGGATTCTCTGAGACCATTTGCTTCGAAATTGCAAGTTTCTTTAACCTCTTCTTCTCCTCCATATGTGGATTGGATTCTCCATTTGCTGCCTTCTTCCCTCCTCGAGCCATAGCCCTAACTCCGCCGGAACAGTTGCTGGAAACTGCACTTAGCTTAGTAATACGAGCAGAAGTTTATGAAAAGAAAAATGCTAAATCCGCCGCTGGTGGTGGAGCGATAGTGAAAAAACAAACTAACAACGCCGTCTAAACAGAAGTACAATTTTATTAATTCCCCGTTTGTTCTTAATTTAGTTAAGAACAAAATTAAAAAAATATATAGTTAAACTACCCACATATATGATGGATCAAAATTTCCTTCAAACATGCATAATGTTACAAAAATTAGTATAAGTTTATTACATATACTTACATACACTAAAATAAATGGTAGTAATATTTTATTTTAAAATGAAAAAATAACACGTATACTATGTCATTTGCCTAATTTTTACATAAATTAACATAGAAAGTAGTATTTAGTGACAATTTAATAAATGATAGTAGTGTTAATTGTATTTATGATACTACATGATACAACAAATACAATATATATCCAAACTCTCTCTTGCCTCTCGCCTTTTTCTTTCTGATCTCGCTCATCTCTCTCCTCTTTAATTTCTCCTAGTTTCGTTTGTCTTTCTTCTTCTCAAAACATATAGCTATGAATCTATAGGTCTCTAATTAAACTCAAACTATGATCAATTTTTTGAAAATCTCTTTATTTTTTAAGCATAAAACGTACTAAATAATTCTCTTACTTTATTCACCTAAATTTTGTTTCAAAAGTTTTTCAAAGTTAAAATTTAGTTTATGAGTTCGATTGCTCAGATGAACACTCAATTAATAGTTATTTATCTTATAAAATTATTATTTTATTAAATAAATTGGACTAACCTTTTAACTAAAAAAATAAAATGGATAAGAAGAAACGTGATATTTCAAGATAATAACTGTTAGGTCTCATTTGTATGCACTTAATAAAGGTCTTAATTGTAATTATTCATTTTGTTTGTTTAGTAAAACCAAATCTAAATCCAAATCATAATGATTCCAAACTTATCTGCATTTGTTTTATAATCATAATCACTTAATATATATATATATATATATATGTGTGTGTGTGAGAGAGAGAGTTATTAAGATTTATAATAAAGTTCTCATATGATTAAGATATTTATTCAATGTTTTTACAACTTCATCTATTTTCATAGCTACATGTCATATCGTTATTGTTACGCATCATTATCACTATCATCCATCACCTACCACTATTATTATCAATCACATAAACAACACTAACGTCAATCACTATTGTCAATTATCACCATTGTTAGCCGTCATTTATAATCATCACATCCAACGACTATTACTATCACGCCAGTCAATAACGACAAACACTACAACAATCATTATATATATCATCAACCACCATTATTAGTTGTCATCGTCAACTACCACGATCAACAAACCATAATTATTTAGTATTGTCGGTCATCATCACCCCTAAATAACTACTACCCAAAGCCAAAACTATTTTTACGCTTCAAATACGGGCTATATAACATTTTATGTAAGATTATCATGTTCAAATTCATTAAATTAAGAGAAAAATTTAGAAATAGCAAACATAATAAGGCTCTATAGCTAGAGTTTCGATAATTGCACTCCATATATGTAGTTATGTTTGCTATAGAGGTTGTGGTTTGTATATTTCGCTTGCGAATATACAAATATAGTAAGTATATACAAATTCTATATCTATACATTTAGGATTTTTTCAAACGTCTGTTTATATATTTCGCTTGTTAATATATAAACATGGTAATTTATTATAAACTTTTCATAAATCGTACACAAATAGCTAGGGTAAAACATATACAAAATTCTGGATTTATACAATCAGGAACCGAATTATACAAATTATGAATTTATACAAATCAGTCGAATTATACAATTCCGGCGAATAACAAGAATTGAGAAAATTATAGTCGCGAATTACAATTTTCTTAAAATATAGCTATAATACCTAATATAGGCTAAATGTTTGTTATTCTGCATAAATTTTTCATTAATGGACTGCATAATCTTTGTGACGCGTAAATCATGAAATTATGTTTAGTGTTTCTCAAAGTGTTTAGTCAGAAAAATGTCTTTGCTTATTAATTTTTTAAAATTATCTTAATTTGAAAAAAATTGTTGGAATAAAGAATATTTTTTTGTCCATGAGATATAAGTTCTAACTTTTACTTATAAAACAAAACTTAAGGTTTACAAGTTTACTGATTGATTGACAATATATCTAAGTTCTACCTTTTATGTTCATGAGAGTACTTCTGATCAACTGAACCATATTCTCTTAAAATATTTTGAACTTCTACTTTATAAGCAAATTAATTTTTATCCATGCCGTAAGTTCGATAAACAATAAAAATTTTATCTAACAAATTTTCTAAAATAAAGGCTATTTTAAAAATTCTTTATTAAACTGGACCAAAAAGATAAGACTATCCCTGCGGAGGCCTATGAACTTAAGCCCGTAATCCTATCTAATGCCCAATTGAGGAAGAGGAATTTGATTGTTTTTTTTAGGCTTAAGTCATTTGCGGCCCTCTAAAGTTGTCCGCATAATTCACTTAGACACCTCAACTATGAGTAGTACCTATTAGACACTCTAATATTAAGGAATATGTACTTATTGAACACAAAATGATAATAAAACTTTTAAAATGTGGTGTGTGTAATTCACGCACATTGTCTTGAAAAAGTAACCAATAAGACTTCAGCATGTGACACATGTGTCCAATCTAATGAATTTTCATTTATTTTTAATTCCAACCTTTAATAATTCAAAAAATTGATTAACAAAAAGAAAGAAAAAAGTTTCCTCCCTCCACCCACCTTTCTTCTTCTTCCCGTAACCTCCTGCGGCAACAGCAACAAAAAAGAAGGAAAAAAGCAAATCTCTCCCCACCCATCTAATTATTTGTCCTTTCTTCTTTTTCTTCATCCGTTATCACCCACTATTTTCTATTCCTCCGAATAGATTAACTTTTGTTTTTCTTCTTATAATAAATTATAAGTTATGGAAATTAAGTCAAATACAAATAATGAAATAAATTATGAAGCATGACAGACTAATGGAGTGATTATTGTGAAAAATAAGTTGACTTGATAAATTATTTTGAAATCGATGATGAAGAGAAATCGTGAGGATTCCAATGAATTATATCAAATTTCCTGATATTATTTTATAACTTTAATGGCTGGTGATGTTTGTTGATCGAAGTGACCGAAAATAGAGATGGACGAAAGTTGCCTTTATAACTCTGATGTCCGATTTTTTTTTCCATTCTTGCAAATTTGATTAGCACTTAGCAGATTCAATTTTTTTTTTATTATAAAAAGCGAAAAATAAAAATGAAGAACCAAAACAGAGTTTAAAATGATTAAAATGGGGCGAAGAAGAAGACAGTTGCTGGTATAGCCTACAGGGGTGGAGGTGGGGGTGGGTTTGTTTTATTTTTGGATATTATAAGACATCATTTTGAATAAAAGTTTATTTTTAGTTATTTTAATTAATGCAATGCCAAGTGTCATAAGAAGGAAAAAAGGTACAAGTTTATTATTAATTAAAAAAATATATAAAAAAGTTTAGGACCTGTTCACGCGCTTCAATGCAGTGAGATGTACTTATTTTGCACATCAGCATTTTGTGCTTAATAGACACATATTTTGAATAATTTAGGTGTTCAATAGGTACAAACCATAGTTGAGGTGTTTAAGTGAATTATGAGGACAACTTTAGGAGACCGCAGATGACTTAAGCCTTTTTTTTATAAAGAAGAAGAAGAATTTATAAGGAAAAGGGTACTTTTTTTTTCTTTTTTCAATTTGGGCACCTATAGTCTGACAGGAGCGGAAACCTAGTCTGACATAGATAGAATAAATAATTTACACATATAAAATGTTTGATTAAGTTTTACCACTACAAATTACTTGGTAAATTATTTTCCAAGAATCATCTATGGTATCCTTTCTTTCTTGTGTCACGTCTAAAATTTTGATTGAGTTTTCTCCTTTCTCATATAAGCATTCAAATTGTTGAAACAAAATCAAATTTAAAAATACATTACAATATATTCAAATTTGTTGCATTCTATTCAATATACTGAAGAAAAAAAATTAATATTAATAAAAATTAAAATTGATCAGGTATTCAAAAACTTATTCATTTGGATCCATCAAATTACACATTTGAGTTTATAACTTACTACATTACAAAAAATTTCTTAAAACAAATAGACAAAAGACTCAATAGCTATTGAACCTGCAAGGTGGGTGAGAGATTTTATGAGAAATTGTAGTAAGTGGAGATAAAAGAGATGTATTTTGATTTGTGACAAATTCCTCTTTCATGTATGATTATTTGACGCCGAGAAAGGGCCTAATCCTATTTTGACTCTCATACATACTGCTACTATCTTATTTCTATCTCAAATCCATAAACTATTTTCACAAAGTTCCAACTTTAGAGGTTGGGGTCGAACCACAAGGATGGGAAGATGAGATCACCTTCAATTGATTTCACAATTTGAAACACACTAGCAAGACCAGACAAAACTCTTCATCGCGATCGCGGTTGAGGGGCCCGCGATTGCGGTGGGACGCTAAGCTAGACGCGGAAGGCAATCGACATGGGCATCGCGAACGCCGCAAGGAAGTGGGGAAATTATGAGATTGCTTGAGTAGATAGATTATCCCTAGGTTTGATACAAATCCGTGGATCATAATCCAATAAGATTGGGCGAAACTATAGTTATGAATTAGAATTTCCTAAACAAAAGCTATGACATTTAATATGGTTTAAATGTTTGCTATTCTGTACAATATTCACTTAAAATCTAAGTTTACATATGTGATCTAAGTTTGTATCTTTTAATGCTAATCTTGGTGTACGAAATTATTTATTGCCCATGATGCTTAAAATTAATGGTTGATTTTCAGCTACGAACGTAATTTTTTTTTAAAAATAACGCGAAGCTTTGCTGGTCTGTGGAATAAACCATCAAATATGGTTATACATTTAAGAGAAACTTTCACATATAACAAACAAAAAAATCATATTTGTATGCTATACCAAAGTTTGCATAATTGCGCTCCATAGCAAACATATATATGTATAATTCGCTATACATATATACAAAAAGAAGCAATTGTATAATTCGTTGGCTCCTCTTCAGAATTGT